GGGGTTTGCCTGCATTGCCAAAAGCCAAATCATAAAGTTCAAGACTGTTATAGGCTGCAGGGAAACCGGGATCGGGCGTAGAGTCAGATTCAGCAAACTCTACAGGAGGGGAGTCCGGTACTGTTGAAAAATCAACAACCCTCCCCTGAAGCCCAATCATCTACTGAAGACAAGGCTGAGGTAAGTAATGTCTTGTATGTCGAGCCTTGGGAGGAGTCTGAGATGGTTGACTTCCACTACCACTTGGAGCATTAGGCTGAGATGAAACAGCAGCGTGCCCAAGGGACAGTGAAGTTGATCTTCTTTAAACTCCTCATCAACCACCGCTATCTCCGTGTGTTGGTTGACTGTGGTGCTACAGCTAATTTCATGTCACCACATGGGATACGCAAGGTGGGCTTGGGAATGAAGCAAGTGGCTTTGCAGAACCCTTGCCGGACCCAAGTTGGCAACAAAGAAGTTGTCTCTTCAACACATGCAGTCAAAGGTGTGCGCACTACCTTTGACAGAGGTAAGACTGTCACCCATGCACTGAACTTCTTTGTCCTTGACAAGTGCCCCTTCGACGCTGTCCGGCAATCCCAATGTGAATGGACCAAGTGGAAGGAATCACTCTTCATGGTCAAAGATGCTCAGGGGAACGAGCTTCCTGTCCTCTTGGATGAGAAGCACGAATCCCCAGTGACTTTTCTGAATGCATTGAAGTTCTGCAAGAAGTGGCGCAAGCACAAAGAGGAAGAACAGTTGTATGTTGCCTTTGTTCGTCCAGCTCATGTGCCTTCTACTTTTGCGGCTAATACCACTACTACTTTGATTGATAATCCTACTTCTGGTACTTCTACTACTAGCACCTCTACCTCTCTATCCTCTAATAGTCCAAATGATCCTACTTTAGATTCGGTCGTCTCTATACGCGACTTGCGACCGGACCTTGGTGATCCCTTTGCTGATTCCCCACCCCCACCTGTCCCATCAGACATCCAAACCCTCCTCGATCGGTTTCCGGAAGTCCTGGCCGAGCCAAGTGGAGTCCCCACGCGACCGGTTCGACACATCATCGAGTTGGTCGAGGGTGTTGTTCCTCCAAAGGGCTGCGTGTACCGTATGGGACCCGGCGAGTTGGAGGAACTCCGGCGACAGATCGATGAGATGATTGACAAAGGTTGGATCAAACCAAGTGAATCTGAATTTGGTGCTTTTGTGTTGTTCGTGCCAAAGAAAGGAGGCAAACTCCGCATGTGTATTGACTATCGCGGTCTAAACCGCATCACGAGAAAGAACGTTTATCCATTGCCTCGCATAGACGATTTGCTTGATGCTTCAGGCGGGTGCAAGGTCTTCTCCAACATCGATCTCAAGTCTGGCTACCACCAGATTGAAGTCGATCCTGCGGACCAGCACAAGACTGCGTTCAAAACACGCGACGGGCTTTATGAGTTCACCGTAATGCCCTTCGGTCTTACGAATGCACCAGCCACTTTCCAAAGCTTCATGGACAAGGTCCTCCGCGAACAAATTGGCCGGTTTGTGGTAGTGTACCTGGATGACATTCTGATCTTCAACAACTCCATGGAGGAACATCTCAAGCATCTTGAGGAGGTGCTCGCTATCCTCAAGAAGACGCAGCTCCATCTCAACTTGGAGAAATCTGAGTTTGGGAAGGATAGCGTCATCTATCTTGGGCACCGGTTGTCTGTTGCAGGCCTAGAGCCTGAGGCAACCAAGATTAAGGTTATACGTGATTGGCCTCAACCTACGAACATTCGCGAATTGCGTACTTTCCTTGGTCTCGCGTCGTACTATCGGAAGTTTGTACCCCGTTTTTCTATCATTGCTCGTCCGTTGTCGCGACTAACCAGTAAAAATGTGTCTTATTCCTGGGATGCCGTGTGTACGGAAGCTTTTCAAGCTCTCAAGGAAGCCTTGGTAAGTTACCCGGTACTCCACATTGCATATCCCAAACTGACCTTCGTAGTTACTACGGATGCAAGTCAGTATGGAATCGGTGCAGTGCTGCAACAAGATGACGGCGATGGCCTGCGGCCACTCGAGTACTACAGCAAACGAATGCCCAGCGTAAAGGTAGCCACTTCCACCTACATGCGCGAGCTCTACGCTTTGCATATGCCGTTGGATCACTGGAAACATTACCTTTTGGGACGCCACTTCAAAGTCTTCTCAGACCATGAGACCTTGAAGTGGATCAAACAGCAAGGTTTCAGTGAAGTCGATGGAGACAGACTCCCAGGGACCATCAGGGATGGGTAGGGGTGTGAGTAGCCCCATGGGCTTTTGTCTGCAAGGTTTGATTCGTTGACAAACTTGACATTCAGCCACAAATTTCTCAGCGGTCTCTTTCATGCCAGGCCAATCAAACTGTCTCAGCAGGTTAGCGTACGTTTTTGCCATGCCAGTGTGCCGGCTCCGGCCATGAGCCAAGTCCAGAAAGTGTGTGCGGAGAGGCTCATGGTTGGGCACACACAAACGGTCATGGTTCCCGTAACGACGAAAAATCAGTCCTCCATCCTCGTGCAAATCAGGCTGACTACTAGGATCAGCCCGCAGCTGCTCAAGGATGGAGCTAAGCTCTAGATCATTGGTTGTCTGCTCTACGAGCTCCTCCTTCAGTTTCTTCCGGAGGTCGTACGATTTCACCAGGCAAGTCATGTACTCAGGGTGGCGAGACAGTGCGTCAGCGACTCGATTATAACAGTCGTTTTTGTATCTTAATTCAAAATCAAAAATGTCAATCTCATGGAACCAGCGAAGCTCACAAGTCATGGTGATTGTTGACCGTTTTTCAAAATTTCTCAATCTGATTCCTCTGCCGCCCCACGCCCCAACAGATCTAGTGATTTGCGAATTCCAACAAAAATACCTGCTGCAATTCGGAACCCCGAAAGACTCTTGTGAGCGATCGGGATCCGCGTTTCACTAGCACTGAATGGAAGGATTTCACGTCCCACCTAGGAATCAAACTGTGCATGACATCTGGCCGACACCCCGAAGCCAACGGTTTGGCTGAGGAGATCAACAAGACTGTATTCCAACTTCTCCGTGCGTTGATAATTCCGGATCAGGAGACATGGGATGAAGAGCTGTATTCTGTCAAGGGGTTGTATAACAACTCTGTCCATTCTGCCACCGCCATGACACCCAACAGGTTGCACTACGGTTGGCAGATCCGTAATCCGCTCTCCTACTTATTCCCTGAACAGTCGGCTGGCTTAACACCCGGCAGGCCCGGCTTCAGAGCTAAGTATGATCGCTTGCTCAAAGTTGTTGTTGCAGCTATGACCAAGCGACAGCATGCCATGATCCACCATGCAAACAAAAAGCGCCGACCATCGGAGATTCAGGTAGGGAGCTATGTCTGGGTGAAGATGTCTGAATTCTCAGAGGAGGAGGGAGTCTCACGCAAACTCCTCCCACTCTACTACGGGCCTTGGGAAGTTTTGGATGTAATTGGGGAAGATCACTTTGGCCCTTCGTACGTTGTAGACGTGCCAGCTCACRTGCGCACATATCCTGTGTTCCATGCATCTAAACTGTACCTCCATCGTGACGCCGAGACATTCGATTACCTCGAAGATATGATCCCTCGCGCAATCAAGGGCGGGCATGAGATAGATAGAATTAAAAGCATGTAGGTAAAGGGAGAAACAGACAGTACCAGGTTCATTTCATGTATCACCCGATAGATGATCTCTACTGGATCTCCAAACAGGAACTGCTACGCTGCGCACCGTGCGTTGTTAAAGCTTACGAGCGACAGATCGCCGCTAACGCCACACCGAAGATCTCAGCATGGCTCTCTGCAACAGAGTATTCCAGGAATCTTTTTGCCTTGCTCGCCTACGATGCTTTCGCTGAGGACTCGGAATGAGTTACTCGCTCGAAGGGACCTCGCTCTTGAGGGGGGGGTAGTGTGATAACCCGTCCAATCACGTACTGAAACACACAGCTGATTTCTGAGTTTTGCTCATAGACTGAATGCCCTACTGAGTTCCCCGCCTGCTAAGTTTGTGTGTGTGTGTGCTTGCTGGACTGCATGTCTGTCTGAGTGCTGGTTGGCTTGCGTGTGTGACTGTGCCTGTCTGAGTGCTGGTTGGTATGAGTGTGTGTGTGTGTGGCCCGCCAGGGCACTTGTTCGTTCGTTGGGCCCTCAGGGCCGGTGCTTACCTGTGGTCGTGGCTTCAAAGGGTTGCAGCTGGGAAAAAGCACTCAAGTAGCGGGTAGGCCGGTACCGCACCCGGCAGGGGGGTAAATATGCAGGTACCGGAGGCCGAGCGGAAGAAGACAAAAGTGGCATTTTTAGAGGCCGGTAGTGTAGGCTAGGTCTAGCGGGTACCAGTCTGAGTCTAGGGCCTGTAGGGGCAATATCAGAGTCTGCAATGATGTTCCCTCCAAAAAGAGGAGGAGGTACCGGTTGCTTGGGAAGGCCAGCGGCCTGGAAGTCACCGCCCAAGAGGCAAAGCAGGCCGCTATATCTTCCGGCCGGGCAGAAGACCCGGCCTCTTTTTCGGTGTGCAAGTTTGGCGACACACTGGTGGAGCGCTGGAGGGAGCAACGCTGGGTCGGAGCTGTGTTGCTGGGGAGGAAGAAGAAGGACTAGAGGGAGGAAGAAGGAGGAAGGAAGGAGGAAGGGGGAGGAGCGCCAGGGGTACTTACCTGGCTATGGTGGCAGCCATCTTCATCACCTTGGTGGGCGCTGCAGCAAGGAGTCCCCTGCCGGGGAGAGCCACACCAAGAAGCTTCAGGGCAGGGTTGGGCATGGCGGCCTGAGTCCGAGCAGCCATAGCTGCTTTGTGTTGTCCTTTGGGCATCGGAGCAAGGCCTAGTAGTCCGCCATAGCCTTGGCCTGTGAGAGAAGTGTGGGAGGGGCGGCCATGGCTATGGTGGGCCTTGAGTGATACCTGCAGTAGAAAAGGGACTCGGACATGATTCTGGACCAGTCATTCAACATTGTATTATTATTTCTTGTATGAATAAGAGAAGGGGGAGATAAGGAAGAAGGGATTGTTGGGGAAAGAAGAAGAGCCTTGACATTGTCTTTGCTGGTGTACATCTTCTTCTTCTTCTTTCTTACATCTTCTTCTTCTTCTTTCTTACATCTTCTTCTTCTTCTACTCCTCTCTCTCCTCTCAAGTTCATTCATTTCTTTCTGCAATTGGATGGCATTGTACTTCTCAGTGGATGTGTATCTCGCAATTGGCCACGGTCATAACACACCTGAGAAGTCAGGTCTGCGCGACAAGGCATCAACAATCTTGTTGTACTCGCCTTTGATGTACTGGGGCTCGATGTCATACTGCTCTATGACTTCGATCCAACGCTTGAGAGCGTCAGAGAGTACCGGCTGTGTTCTCATGCATCTCAGGGTCAGATGATCAATCCTGAGGATAAAGAACCTCCCAAGGAGATAGTGTCTCCAATGGGTCAGAGCCTTGCACACCGCATAAAGTTCCTTCTTATAGGTGGACTTTGCCAACTCTTGAGAGGGCATCTTTTTGGACATGTACTCTACTGGCCTCAGCTTTTTCCCCTCCTGTTGTGCAAGTACGGCGCCTATGCCATATTGGCTAGCATCCGTAGTCACTATGAATGACTTATCAGGATCAGGAAGTTTCAGGACTTCGTAATGCGTCAACACACGCTTCAGTTGTCTGAAAGCAGCCTCGCATCTCTCAGTCCACTCCCATGGGGTGTCAAGGCGGGTCAGATCATGCAGAGGTGCGGCCACTATGTTATAGTTTTCCACGAAGTTGCGATAGTAGTCGGTCATCCCTAAGAACGATCTCATCTCAGTCATAGACTGAGGACGCGGCCAATCACGAATGTTGGCCACCTTCACGTCATCAGGCTTCAACCCTTCCGCTGAAATCTCATGACCCAAGTACAAGACACGGGTGCGGCCAAACTCGCACTTCTCACCGTTGATCTTGAACTTGTGCTGTCGCAGGAGACTGAGTACTTTGTCCAAATGTGCAACATGTTCCTCGACCGTCTTACTAAAAACAAGTATGTCATTGAGGTACACGATGACAAACTTATCCAAGAAGTCATGGAATATCCGATTCATAGCGTGTTGAAAGGTGCCAGGAGCATTGCAAAGGCCGAAAGGCATCACCACAAACTCGTACAGACCGTACCTGATCTGAAAGGCGGTTTTGTGTTGATCCTCGGGCCGGATTGCAATCTGATGGTACCCGGATTTCAGATCTATCTTGCTGAAGTATCGGCACCCTTGCACTCTATCTAGCAGATCGTCGATGCGCGGTAGGGGCTCTCTATTCTTTACAGTGATGGCATTAAGGCCCCTATAGTCAATGCACATCCTAAGAGTACCCTCCTTCTTCTTAGGTACGAATAGAACTGGAGACCCATAAGGAGAGATACTCGGCCGGATCCAACCCTTCTCTACGAGTTCCTTGAGTTGGCGGCGAAGCTCATCAAGCTCGCCTGGAGACATCCGATAGATCCTACCCTTCGGAATACTAGACCGTGGGATAATCTCTATCGCGTGGACGACCTCCCTCTCAACAACCCCTGTTGGCTCTTCAAATAGATCAGGGTACTTAGCAACTACTCCCTCTATCTCAGGCGGCATTTTCACCGGCTCGCCTGCAGCAGAGACATAGACTAAATACATACCCTCCTCCTGATTTTGCTTATAATAATTGTAGAACGCGGCCGCACACATGCACCCATAAGACTCAATCAGACTACTAGCTTTGAACTTATGTAATGTGGCGGTCCCTTCGCCTGGCAAGTTGTGTTTGACCACTTTTCGGTCCCAGTCAAACTGGGGCTGTGCTACAGAGAGGTAGTACATACCTAGTAACATGTCCATTGGGAGCTCGTCACTTACCAGGAACGAGACACGATGTCTCAAGTTCCCTCCCGCGTACGGGAAACAACACTCTACATCCTGGAGGTAGTCGTTAACTACCATGCGCCGTTTGTTGGCACAGGTCGACTCCACAGGTCGACTCAGGCACTGCACTCGCCCCTGTAAGCGCAGTCTCTCAACGCACTTGCAACTAATAAAGTTCCGTGTCGAGTAAGTGTCACAATAGGCCCCGGCCTTGCGGTCGCCAATGACAACCTCGCTGACGAACATCTCACCCTTCGGGGCTTTGACTAGTGCCGTCCAAGAAGCTAGCGGGTCTGCTCTAGACCACTCCACCTCTAGCTCCTCTAAGGACTTAAACACATTCATCGAACAGAGGCTCGATTGGTCTGAATGTGCTTGCGGGACGACGCTGGAGTCAGTAGCTTGGGCCATCTCTCGAGATGGTGAGGGTGTCTCCACCATCTCGACCCTAGCAGGGACAGCCACTATTCCTACTGGTGCGGCGTGTTTCCCGGAGCACTGCCTAAAGTGCTGGCAACATTGCCGCCAACGAGTTGAGAGGATCCCAATACTTGCCCCATCGTAGGCGGGATCTTTTCCGTCACTTTCTTGTTGCGGCGCTTGAATTGGTTGTGGCCATATTGACCACAACGAATACAGGCGTGCCGTGAGTAACGGTCTCTCGACGCGTCCTCTGTAAGACCCGCTTTCTCCCATGGAGGAGCATTGGGGTCAACCTGACTCCTAGACCGGTAGCCTCCGCGGCGTCTACAGGTCGCCTTTCCTTTTTGAGATACGGCAGCGACTACTCCACCCTCTGAAGCATCTATGCTGCCTGCCTCTGAACCTACTCCCTCCTGGAAGTTGCCGTCCACCTCGATGGTTGAAACATCGTTGTCGACAAACATCAAGCGACCTTTCGCCTTCCAGTTAGGAGGCAGTGTCTTCTTCCTCCCATCCGTAGTGGGTGCCTGTCCATGCCCTATCTTAGCTTCAAGGTCTAGGGCCAACTTGCTGAACGAAGGAAAGTTGTGCATATTAATGTTGGCCTCTTTTGCCAACAGGTTCCTGAGAGGTTGTGAAAAGCATCTCAAGTACGAAGTCAACAGGACCTGGGGGTCATAGCGCACCCTTGGGACACAGATCAGACACTCAACAGCGTCGGTGGCTTCCCTTACTGACTTAAACTGCCTTGTGTGCAGTGTCAGGATCGCATTAGTGGCCCTTTGGGCCTCCTGAGGATCATGCCACCTTTCTTCCACCATCTTCAGGAAGTCCTCCAATTTCTGGGAGACCGCCCAAGCGCGGAAGTCATGACCATACCCCTGGAGTTGTACTAAACCACTCAACCATCTTGTTGCACTACCCTCTAGGTAGGAGGCAGCCACAAGCACTTCTTCGTGCGACAAGGTAAGTTTACACCTGACGTAGACCAGCACTGCCCTCAACCACGTGTCGAGGTCTTCGCCCCTCTTATCCCTTGTGAAAGGTTTGGGAGCGGCGATGGCCGTCTTTGGGACCCACTGTGTCTGTCCCGGTCCCTGCATCACTACGGGCTGTGGACCCTGTGACACAAGTTACTGTGCCAACTACTGGGGTTGTGTGCCCTGCGGCTGCACAGGCTGCGAGACAGCAGGCTGCGCGGTGACCGCAACCTGCAACGGAGTTTGGGTGTACACTGTCTGAACAGGAACCTGCAAACTAGTCCCTGCTGATACCCCTCCTGACAGCGGCATGCCCAGGGAAACGATCGTAACCGATGACGGGGCTACGTATGGGGAGACCCCAGTCACCAGTGGGACATAAGGAGGAGGATGTGCAACGGGCCAGGCACCAGGCTCGGACATTGGCGACGTGGCCTGCGTTCTCCCAACCAACAGGGCCAGACTTTGCTGGATATCCTGAAGGATGGTTGTCTGATGGTCCTGCATCTCTGCTACATTCAGCAGGACTGACCGTACAAGTCTCACATCTTCAGGCACATTCGTTAGATCCATTTCCTCTAACTCACTCACATCCGCTTGTCTACGTTGCATCCTGGCTCTTCTTCTGATCATCTTTTCTTTCTCCGCTTTTATCTTTCCTAAAGCATTCTGTAGTTGTGCCCCCTGGAGGACTGCCTCCTGTATGGCGATCTCATCAGGAGTCGACACCAATGGCTGGCTCGCCATTACGCCAGTGGACTGTACCACGGTCTGCGCGACCGTCGACCCGACAGACCTTGAACTACCGGCTTGAGAAGTCTGCATTGTTGAGGTAGACATGGCTTCCATTGCTGCGGTCCCACTCACAAGTGCCCTGCTAGCCTCCACTGCTCTAGCCCTCCTCTGTTGCTGCTGTCTCTCCCTAAGTTGGCGGAACAGTATCCTATCACCCTCCGGTCCTAGGGACACGTGAGCTCTCGGGCCTCTAGCTGATTGCAAGATCCTCCGGTCGTCCTCCCCGGTGTCCTCCTCGTCGCTCATAAGCTACAACCCTGTACACAATCTGAACTAATGCACTCTAGGTGCCTACCGCAGCGTAGTGCACAGACCAATTAAAGTAATTGGTTGCTATTTCGGAACAGATATCACTTGAGGTCAACAGGTAAGTCAGATTCCTACAAACGAAACTATTTTTAGTCTGACCAGTCCGCAGACAGAAGCACCAGCAACAATAAACAGTTCTAACTAATGTTGTATGTTAGATGTCAATGGTTGTGCACCTAACTAATCAAAACATAAAAACAGAATCATTTGTGTGTATAGGACAACATGAAATTTTCTCGAACTTGTCACTTGGAATCAACCCTTCCCTTAGTTCCCCTGAGTATCTCTTGACGTCAGCGTCCCTGAGCGATCTGGAGAGCGTCACGCTGTCGCGCGCGGCGGTCCCGCACCCCGCTGGGAGCGCTGAACCTCACGGTCGTGTCACGCAGGATTTATTTCTTGAAAAAGAACCGGTCACCAGTCCGACCGTGCGCGCGTGCTATACCTCTCACGACGCCCCACGACAAGTCGGGACGTCGCGAGACACAACTTACCTCTACCCGAGGGGCTGTCACCACTCTCAGGTAGGCGTATCCCTGCTGAGCTACCGGCCCACATGCAAAGGCTTTTACATGCCTTTGTAGAGGTAGGTCGGCCGAGGGCGTTTGCTCGATCGCTGTAGCATAAAACGGGGTACGCGCGGTAAGACGCCTAGAACTGACCCGTTAGATATTCAGGTCGAACATTTAAAAGGCTGTCTATTTCCGCTACTGCATAATGTATTATTCGTCTTGACAAATATCAGTCAACCTGTCTTTCTACCAAAGAGCGTCCTATCTTTCTTAACAAGTTAGGAGTTAACTGAACATCAGGATAATATGGAAGTTAAATTGGACATATAATGAATATAGAAGTATTACCGCCGAGAACCCTTCCCACTTTCACAAGTGCCGTGTGTCCRAGACTCTTCAACATACCAGGTCCAGTTCAATTCCAAAAATCACGCACAAATTAGACCTGCACAGAATAATGCAAAGACAGTTCACATGCCATGCACTAACGGCGTCAACCATCAACCATTGACCTTGTCCCTCACTTCCCAAACCAT